CAAATGATTAATACATTATAAAAATACACCTACCAAATTTGATCCGGATATCTCGAAAACTGAGAGACTAGATTGCATACAAACAGACAGACAGACGGACAGACGGACAGACGGACATGGCTAAATCAACTCAGCTCGACGTTCTGATCATATAAGTATACATTTTCATGGGTCTATCTCTTTTTGTTCTGGTACTTACAAACATCGGACCAAAGTTATAATACCATTTCATGCTCATGAAAGGTATAAAAACGCCACCGGAAAGTTGTACGATAGATACTTTAACAGATTGCATGAGCGCAAAGCTCAGTTTAAAAATGATACGCCATCAAAAATTGTCAAAGTTGCCGTTGTAAATGCTGAAAGCTCCGCTAAATTTATTGCGACAAAGCAATGGTTACAACACAATATTCCTGAAGATATATGTGTATTGTGGAAAGCGACTTCAGAAGAGAGAATTAAAGAACGTAAATGTAGTATTCAAAATATTTTAAAGGAATGGCCACGATATTTCGATTTTAATGGATACCAGCTGATTGATATTGATTTTGACACTATGTTTCCCGGCAAATCAGACCTGATGTTGCACAGAATTGAAAGCATTGAGGAAGCAATAACGAAAGAGCTTTTCCCATCACTCGTAAAAGATAAACTGAACCTGACGTACTACGACGCCATGCTTGGTGCAAGTGATGCAAATAATGTCGATTTCTCCTGATGCGTGATTTTCGTCATTAATTTCATGTTTTTTTCATTTAGATTGCAGGCATTATTATTTTATTAACTTATTGCATGCAGTAATAACACCGCCGAGAATAAATAAAAACATTAAGCCCTCCATTACGGATGCGCAAATGGATATGATAACACACCTTCTAAATATTAATAACTTCCAACAAAAACTTGACGAGCTGAATGAAAGCGCACACAAAGATGGATTAACACTTCAACCTAGAGTGTTTATTGTTGGTGAGAGTCCTCAAAACTTAAATGAATTTAATGTCTGCGTTGACAACATTAAATATAAAGTAGGTAGCTTAATTAGGGCTATAGATTTAGTTATAAAAATTTCTTGTGTATTCAACATTCAATATTCCGCAAAGAGCAAATATGTTTGGGTTTTTCTTCAACGATATGTTTATGACATTTCCACTCAGGAAAAATTTCCCAAAATTTTAAAATATTTTGAACAAATTAAACAATGTTGAATGAAAATGTACTTGCAGATAGACCCACGCATATTTGCTCTATATGCCGAAATGAATTTATATTATTTGAAAACCTTTTTAATCATCTTAAGTGTTTACATCGAACTCCAATTACTTTTAAGTATTTATGCCTTTATCAGAATTGCAATAGATATTTTCAAAACTTGTATAAGTTTCGTAATCACGCAACCAAGCATGATTTTAATTATAATCGAAGTGAAATGCAAATTTTATGATCCATTATGTCAATTGCATCAAACAACTGGGTCCACTTAAATTTTTATGGTGTTTTAGATTCGAAGGAAAACACGCTGAATTCAAAAAATACGCAAATAATATAACATCTCGAAAAAATATTCCACTTACTCTTGCAACTAAGTACTGTTTTCAATTCTGTTCTTATTTATTTGAAAAAAGTTTTTTCCAAGATGATCTTGTGGATTCCAAAAATTTGTCACCAATAGATCTTTCAAAACTTGAATTTTATCAGAATTTATGTACAAATTTTAAATC